GCCTTTGATACAACCAAAGAGCATACAGCCCTGGCACAGGAGAGGCAAAGAAAGGTGTATGATAAATGGGCTCATCATCACCCATATAGAGAGGGTGACAAAGTGTGGTTACTAGTCATGGTGTCCAAAACAAGGCACAGAAAACTAGCACTTCCTTGGGAAGGGCCTTATATTGTGAAGAAAAGATTCCAGAATGCAGAGGGCATGCCAGGTGTCACTTACCGCATACAACATGAGGTGACGAAGAAGAAAATGGTTGTACACCACAACAGACTGAAACCCTATGAGGCACCAAGGATACCTAACCCACTTCAAGCAGATTCAGACTATGTGACGGAGGAAGATGAATCAAAAATACATGTACCTAGACCCAACATTTTTCAAGAGCAACTTCGTCTTGCCCCTGTACTTCCAGCAGAAGGTTACATTGTACATACCAGTAGAAATTCGTTTGCAGCGCCGGAGGCTACTGCCTGTTGTGAGGGAGAGGAGCACATCCCAGTGGAAGAAAAGACAGAAGAAGCGACTGTAGACGCTGGAAAGGACAAGGGAGCTTCGCAGGACAGTGGAGAACCCTTGGTCACAACCCGATCAGGAAGAGTGGTGCGGCGACCCACCAAATACAGAGACTTTGTGGCAGCTATTGGAGATGGCTACTAACAGATTAATGCAGATTAACTCTTATGAATGGCATTTTGTGGGTTTCATCAGTTACGATTGTTGTTGTTTATATGCACGTTAATGTTGGACAAGTTAGTTGTTTTGACAGGATTTAAAAAAAAAATTTAACTGGAACTTTTACTGTTAAAAGAGACATTTCACCTGGAATTTTACTGTTAATAGTGTTGATATTAATGTTGTGAACTTTTTCAAGGATTTAGACCCAGTGTTGATTTAGTGTGTTGGGACTTAGTTATAATCGGTAGTTACTAGGTTGGAGACTCGGGACGAGTCTTATCTGCCCGGGGAGGCATGTAACGGGGTAAATATAGTGCCGGTGTGCATAAACCGGGGTAACGTCGGGGGAAAAGAAACATGGCGGCGTAGCAGACGCTGAGCAGCTTGTGCACTGCTTAGTAGCTTATATATCGTTAACCTATTAAATTTATGAAAAAGAAAGCACAGCGTTGTTGTACTGGATTGCTGAGGAAGTGCACCGCTACATATGTCTTAATGAGGAGATTCCAGATCACTGCTAGGTAAATATATGAAGAGATAAGTCAGTCAGTAGTTGGTCTCTGGGAAAATTAACATTGCCTTAGTGTCATGTACCAAGTAAACAGGAAGTTGAGAGAAGAAACTCCTGCATACGTACCACCCCTCTGATACAGCAAAAACTATCGGTTCAAGTAGTGAAAAATTGAAAACACTGTACGCATGTGCAGCAGAACTCATACTTTCCTGAATACAGCATAGATAAATATGATAACACCAACAAATGTTTAGTCTGTACAAGTCTTTATTGTTTTTTAATTTTTTTTTCATTTTACCACAATAACACGTATGTACAGCATACAGCATGAATATGAATACAATTTCGCTTTCTCTCATTGCGAAGTAATAATTTAAGAAGCTGCAAGTACAAAATATTCATCATTCATCCAGGTTTCAATCAATTTACAATAAAAAAAACACAAATTCAGTTTCATTCCTAAACAATGGAGAAGACTGCTATACCATAGCCAAACGTAAATATAAACAGCCGTGTCAGTGTACTCGGGCCAATGAATATATCTGGTCAATATAGAATTATTATGGCTCTTACGTGGGTTAGATCACATCTGATAAATAATATATGGTAAGTATAAAGCAAGAGGGTATAAATAACCCTGAGTTAAATGGCACCATCATGTGTTCACTATGACTGGTCAGTGAGTATTCAAACAAATGTCTCAAAAGTTGTTAACTTTTACAATAAGGTAAAACTGCAAACATCACAATTTTAACAGCCTCTAGGTTTCCCAGAACATCTGAAACATCCGATTTTAATGCTAAAAAACTGAGCTAGTTACAATATCCTGTAACAAAACATTTCATAAAATATTCCCCAAATTTCCTAAACCAAATATCTTTATTTTAATAAGAAGTTAAAACTTGCTATTGAAAGAGATACATTTCCTAGACAGTTAAAAATTATTTCAAATGCCTTTAAAGGCCAAGGCCTTTCTGGATTAATTTCATGAGTACTTTTGGACAGTAATGTCTTTAAACCACAGCAGCATATACACCTATATGTACATAGCTGATGAAATAATTGTAATCATAAATACTTTATTATTAAAAATAGATTCATTCCAATTCTTTGATATAAATTTGATATAAACATGCATTTCTATGTCTTTACATAATTGAGGGTAAATTTTCACTATCGCTGTAAAAAGTGTCACCATGATAAGTATGGATAAATGATAAAATACCAGAAAGACCATTAACCATAATAAGTATTTGGGGCTAAAACAAACTAAATTTACAATTTCATAATTTGCAAAATATAATTCTTTAAGTCAAATGTAATTTCTTACCTTAAAAGGCTGCCGTGATGGCATATCCTCATGACACCTTTTCAGGAGATGATCTTAATACATAATTAATATCTACTATCTTTTCTGTTCACTGTTGCAAAAATATGTTATGATAGTTAAAATATTTCAGCTGCCTATTTGAAATTAAAACTTTCTTTAAAATGAATATCTTTTTTATTTGCATGCAAGGTATGCAAAAGAAAATTGCTTAATAATATGCCCGCTGTTCATGGTGAACATTTAGATAAAACATCTCGCAAAAGCAAAAGCTTAAATGGTACAACTGCATTAATATCTTAGAGTCATCTTACCAACATTTTCCTGACATGCCTTTCTTTGCACAAGAAGTAACCATATGAACAAAAGAACCATCTTTTCTAGTCCTTTGAATGCAAAACTTCTTTGTACAAAATGTCACCATATATACATCAATGCACTTCATGTCCCTCTACCTATGGGCAACAACTTTAGATCGACAAAGTGTCTCTGGTATATGTTTCAGTTCCTCCAAACAGATAGCAGCAGCTCTTTTAAGAGGGCTCATTTAACTGTGACAGCTCTTTCCAGGTTGAAACCATAGAGAGGGAGCAGCAATTTTCTGAATTACGATACAGATAGGGAGCAGCACTCTTCCATCTGACCTTTGAGGTTACAAATTCCTCAATCTATTTTTGGTACATACAAAGACCTTTCATGTTAACATTTATCTTGTCTTTATATAGGTGGTGGGCCTCTCACATAGCGTAACTGTGGGGCAAAGGTCAGGCGGAAGTTGTTAAAATATTCACAACAATCTGGCTCCAGCAACATGGCCAATCCAAATAACAAGATCAGCAATATTTGTAGAGGGATTGCAACCTTCAGTATGCGTCGGCAAAATGCTAGTCTCCCAATCCACCTACTCACAGGACGGACTTTGCTGCTGCAAGAAAAAGAAAATTGAAGTTACTTATAAAAAAAACATCAACCCAAATAATGTGATAAAAAAAGACATTTACATTTGAGGAGAAAAAAATGGTAGGGTTAGCAAACACTTATGTAAGAGAGCAATGTGTATATATAGCAAATGTAGCAAATCATTTTTTTCCTCAGCAAATCTTGTGAAAATGTACCATAACTCCAACATAATGTCCTATTTACCTCTCTGCTGCCACCGTTGCACTGGCAACTGGTATACTTTCTCTGACAACCTCTTCAGTTTCCATAGGAACATCTGCAGCAACTGCAGATTCAATCTCAGAGTCGACTTCCATTTTTCTCTGCCTTAACCCAACATCATCAGAAGCCCCAACTGCTTCAAGGCCTTCCGCACCAACAACAAAGACCTCTGCTTCAGGAGAAATTTCCATGTTTTCTTCAATTCTGTCCACAGTGGTCTCACTGGCTTGTAAACTGGCAACCATTCTCTTGCAGTCATGCTTGAGTGCATCCAGCTGGTTGCTAAGAGTCCCCACACTGGCACGAATGTCTGTCTGTGTGTCAGTACTGCACAGCGGGAGAAGCTGTGAGGAGAGTTGACGTATGGATGCCATCTTGGCTTCATATCCATCCAACTCAATAAGCATGTTCTGGAAACACAGTGTCTTAAATTAGTGATACAGGCATGATTAATTTAACAAACATTTTTCAATGCAACATATGAGCAAAATATAAAAGGGAACAGACAAGTCAAACCAAGGTATTATTTTATCCAAACTTTACCCTAGCTCAAACTTTACCTGTAGTGTCAGATCAACAATTCTTATCCATGACTACAAAAATTGAGGAATCTCATTTTTTTACATGACTATTTGAATACCTTCAGATCAATAGCAGCTTCTGCTTTCTCCTGTTCGTTCATCACAAGGATCTGCTGTCCTGCCTGCATGAGCTGAATATGCTGCCTTTGCTGACTCAGCAGATAGTCTAGTTCCTTACTTGTCTCTGAGTAGTCATACCAGGCAAGAAGAAGATTCTGAAGTTCTGCTGTTCTAGTAAGAGTTCTGAAAAATAGAATGAAATTAGTAAAGGCAAATCATGCACAAATTCATAGGATCAATTTTAAATGTTAAATTAGACAATTCCCAAATAATGTAAACATAACATCACAGTTAAATATATCTTAAACTAGTTACTAAATGATGCTAATTTTACTTATATAATTTGATTTAAGTTTTCAGATATTTGGCGATATACAGTTAACCCAGTCACTACTAGATTGACCAAGTTTAAAAACCTTCAATTCTTTAAGCTGTAATGCACTAAAACTGGACAAAAGTGAATAAATACAGTTATACTAACCTTGTTTCTATGTCTTTAAATCTGCTACACATAGCAGTACATTCCTTTTTGAATCTTAGCATGTTAATATCAGTATTCTGTTCCGCAAACTCTGACACCCTCATGTCTACACTTGTAAGAGTTGACTTCTGTTCAGATATGCTCAGTTTGGCCTCCTAAATGTATTATTAATCTAAATTATAGTTGATAAAATTCAATTTATAATATTGTCATTATACAGAGACAATTTCACTCATGTAAAGTAATCAAAGCCTTGCAAAAAGATGTGTTAAAATCTTCAATGTCTTTAAATCATGATATCAGCTACATCCTGGCATAAACATTTTTTAAAAACATTAATCAACATTTATGTACTTCCAAGTTCTTGATCTACATCTATTTACCTGTAAGTACTTAATCCTTTCCTCTACAGCTTTTATGTCATCAAAGTTGCTCTGTTCAAGACCATTTTCTAGGTCTCTTAAGTACTTGTGGACCATCTGCATCTCGTGATGAATGGCAGACAGCTGGCGTGACTTGGACTGTTTGTCCACGGCAAGATTATGGAGGTCCTTCCAACAGGTCATGATCTCTGAATAAGTAATAAATTTATTTCAGCATGCTCAGTCATACTGTAACAAAATGCTTCCTGTGAACGTCATTTTATCTCACGTAACAATTTTTAAAACATCAGTGACATTTTGACTTATCTTTTACTTTGTGTGCCATCATGCTAGACTTTTATGACAATAACCCAAACTACTGAAAATTGTTTCAAAGATGTAATGATAATGACTATGTATTTCAACACATCTGATACAAGTGCCATGATTTTTCTCATGCAATAACCAAAAATCATGTAACATTTAGTCATTAATGCATTTTACAAACAGTCCATAAAGAATAGCGCATTCTTTGACTGAATTTGACAATTAAATGTCATATTAAACATACCATGTACTCTGTTTACATCTTCTTCAGTTAGCCCAACGAGACTTTTTCCAGCATTCAAATGTTCTATAATCACCTGGAGACAGCGCAAGTTTGTTTCACAAGTTGCAACAAGCTCAGCCTGGAAAAAAAGTAGCACAACTTATGACTTCACACAAATACATGCTTGTTTTTGTAAAAGATTTGAAGATATTGGCAAACCTTGCATTTAAGACATTTTGAGCACTGTCTTTAAAAACATTTGCACTGCTTGTTATATAATCCAAATCAACTATAAATTGTTGAAAAAAAAACCAAAAAAAAAAAAAAAAAGAAAACAGAAACAAAAATGTACATTTTTGAGTCAAACAAAATCATTTTCATGCAGGCAGCTTACATATTTTGAGGGATCCATACAGAGGCCAGTGTCCATGGCATCTCGCCTTTGTTTCTTTAGTGATGTTTCTGTCACCTGAATCTGTTTCGCTGACTCATTGATGACATGCTGAAAATCCTCCATGTCTGAGTCAGAATCATCCACTCTAGAACTATCTCCAGAATATCCACTCGGAGATGGATAACCATTGCTCTAGAAAATGGTTAAATATATCTGTAAGCAATGGCTAATTTAGACAGAGGGGAGAAAATAAACTGTTTTAGGTCTGTATAACAAAAGGTGTATAAAATACAAATCTTCATGTCAGTCTTGAAAGGCATTTCAATACTAATTAGCATAAAAAATAACATTTACAAGACATAAAAGAAAATGCCCAAAGTTTATACTGCAAAATGCAAGATGAAAATGCATTTATTGCAAACAAAATACAAAGGATAAATCTGAAAAGTTTAATAGAATCGTCAAAAATAATAATTGTAAGTAGACACAGGCTATTATCCTGGGTATAGCAAGCTAATTAGGCTTTCTAAAAATGTAATTGCAAGCCCTGTACTTAAAGAATACTTTTCTTCAACCAACACATGCTATACTGTCAGATCATGCCAATGAAAGTAACAGTTGGGACCGAGACAAACAAAATGAAACATGCAAAAGCAAACATAAAACCACTTACAGCAGCAGAAGTAGCCATGCCATCAAGGGCACTATCAACAGTAGATTGCTTGGGCTGCATTGCAGACAAGAACTCTGCTGAGAACATGCCACTGTCTTTGATGTAGTCATCGTCAAACTCAAAATTGTCCTCATTTTCCCAAGTAAGGTGACTGTCATCCAGTTTCTCTTCATTGTCATCACTGGTCACTACTTGGTAAGGTGGGTCCTGCACATGCACAAAATGGTCAAGGTTGGTTAGAACATACTGAAGTGACCACTACACCATGGGCCAAGCAAGACAATAAATATCATACCTGTTAAATGTAATGAACACAACAAAAGTATGCATGCAGCAAAAATTGTTTAATCTAAAATTTTGTCCTACTAAAAGGAGTATCAATGTCTAATCATGATTGAATCACAACAAAAAACTATCTGAAATATAAATTATTAAGTGTGAGCACAAACATGGTCTACAGTGGCCTTCAAATCTATTATACAGTTCATAAATGGGTAATGTACAACATATTGTGTCTCTAAAATGAAACTGAATAAATTTGATTTTGTTAAATGAAACCCATTTTAATGCTTTAAAATAATAAAAACAATGCATAGAAATTGAAAATTAAATATTGCTTACACCACCAGCATGCTTGGTGCTATGACCTGCATATCTCAATATCACAACACATTCAGGCAAGCTATAATTCAGTCACTCAATGCAACATAGGTAGCATAATAATCATTCTGAATTTCAATATACAAGACAAGGTGGTGTAAAAGTTACACTAGGCAAAATAGCAAACCCAAAATGCTTCAGTATTAGGAGTAATAAAACATACACTTAGGAAGCCAAAAGCCTCAATCTCTCCACTGGTGTCAAACTGGAACAAGGGAAGGGAAAACCAAGGTTAATATTATGGGATTTAAAAATAGCAATTTCATATATATCTTCCACTGAAAAAAATACTGCAGTCTATGCAACTGGTCGTCATCTAAACTCAAGTTTATTACTACTTGAGATTTCTTTATTACCCACATAACCCAGCTTGCATAGCACACATATCAACCATTCTTTCTTGATAAAACACTCCACCCACCCCTTTCACACACCACTGTCCTGCTTCAAATATTCACTTAACATTACAAACATCTCTCTCTCTCTCTCTCTCTCTCTCTCTCTCTCTCTGATGTCACATTTTGTGTTAAACCCAGTATAAGCTGTACCTGATATGGATCCCAAGCATGCTCTGAGAAGGATTCCACAGTGCTGTTAAGGAGTTCATCTGTGTCATCACTGTCCTTGTCGCTGTCATCTCTTTTCTCAGTGTCAACCAGATCACCTAGATTTGACAATGACATGGATAAGGATACAACATACAAGTTACAAGACACAAAAGATATGTACATGGAACTGGTCTTCAATAAAAACGTCAATTCAAAAAGAAATGCATCTCTAACTGGAACATGGAAGATGTGTAGATATATGCCAAATATATTATTTAGCCACAGCTAGACTACCTAAAAAATAGTCTTAGTTCCCTAAATGCCACCAGATTTGTCTATTAACAAATCAGTAATACACATATACTTTTATCCAAAATGCTGCATGAGCACAAACACATTTTAATCCTCATAATATAATCAAGTGAAGAACATTAAAAAATAGATTACGCTACCACAGCCATCTGAACACTCTATTTGTACCTTCACTTTTATCTGTCCCATAACTAACACTCTTGTCTGCATCATAACTTATACTAGTGTCCACCAAATCAGAGCCTTCATCTGTGTTGTTTAAATCCAGACTAATCTTTAAATCAGATTTTTCAGTGCTTGAATTCTCATAATTCACTGCATTACCAAGACTCGACTTTGATACAGTTTCAGTAACCTCAGTTGTCTTAGTCTTATCTTCGTTTTCGATGCTGAAACTTTTCAGGATTTGTTCTGAAGATGATGATGATCTATTTCTTTGGTTCAAACTATATGTGCTCCCAACAACATAGTTTACTCTGCCTTCTCTGTCAATAGGATCAGAGACATAGATCCCACTTGTATCCAAACCAGAATGGCGACTAACACTGGCATTAGTAAGTGATTTCCTCTCCACATACTGATATGTCTTGGTATTTGTGTTTAAACTTTCAGTTTGAAGTGAACTGTATGTTGCACTAGAAATCTCTTCAGGGCTTCTTGATTTGTCTGAAACAACACTTCTTGGTGACGTGGTAAGGTTAGTATTGTAACCCCTGGGAGATCTTGTGTCAGAATCATATCCCTTTGAATACCTGTCTGAACCATAGCTTCTAGTAGAGCTTTCAGAGCTGTATCCTCTTGGAGTGGGATCACGTTCCCTTGGAGACTCATAGCCTGTTCCACTAGTCAACCCAGAGCTTAATCGTGTAGTTGAACTTGATGCTCCAAAGTCTACAGGTGTGCTGGTATACCTCTGGTCTATACCATAGCCTGATCGAGGGCTTCTTTCAAAACTACTCCTTTTTTCTGAAGTTCCTAATGACCCTTGACCAGAAGAAGAGTAGCTTGAACTAACAGCTCCAGAACTTCCTATACCAAGGCTGGAATAGTTTGAAGTAGTTGAACCAATTCCAGAGTAATTTGAAGTTGCTGACCCTAATCCAGAGAATGATGATGTTGAAGATGATGTTCCTATACCAGAGTAAGAGGAATAACTCGTAGAGTAAGAACTTGATGAATAACCAGTACTGCTTGAAGCTCTCCCAGTGTATTTTCTTGAGGAGGAGTATCCTCCATATGTTCCAGACATTTTGCAGAAATTAAAGAGACCTATCAAAACCCATCGATACTATAAAGTAGGTGTCACAAAACATCACTCTTGATCCTGAAGATGGTGACGCTATGGAAGTTATTAGAAGTAAGCTACTGCAGACCGACGCTACACTTCATACAATCTACAGTTGTTATTAGGGTAAATTCTATGGCTGCCCTAATTTATTCTCAATATTCAATACAATTCAATATCAGTGAATTGCCAGGTCTTTTGTGCGACTACAATTTGCTCTCTTTGCTTTCTTTAGCTTGTATACAAAGAAAAGTAAACATGGAGCAGACCTAGCTGGCAAAATATCAGGTTTTATTTCCTTAAGTTATTCTCCACACAATCGTCTTTTAGGGAACAAAACATATTAATAGACTTCCAAAAATGCTGGTCAGCACAGAAAAATATTGTTTATGAACACAAGAAACTAAAGTTAAGACCAAGAGCAAATATCATTACATCCAAGTATTTGCACAAAAGCAACAGCATTCCTCAGGAAGCTCATCTACTGCAATAGGTGCTCACACACTCATCCAATATTGTACACCACTTCTTGTACATACTTGAACACTATAGACCAAGTGTAAACATTAAATACAGATTCACAAACTGATCGATAATCTTCACAGTTTCCCTTGGAGAAATGCTTCTATTTCCAATCTATCACAGACTAGTTTATTGTCAGTTTCTGTTTGGTGAAACATTATAAAGATACATCATAGCACATTTTCTACTATGAATCTCAAGCTTCCTATCCCAGGTCTCATTTTGCTATAAAAAATTAATATATTTTGAAAGGTGAAATGTCCTACAAATATCTGAAAAGTGAAATTCAAATATAGAATGTTAACATTTGCATTTAATAAATTGAAGGTACAAGGTTTTCCAACAGAAAAGTATTTTCCACTTACCCAAATCTGACTGGTTTCCTTCTCCAGAGACTGCAGACAACTGGCCAGTATGGAGGCTGTACTGACTTCTTTCCTCCTGACTAGACCCAGCATGTTCTCTGGCATCCAGGGCACCCGCCACCATAGCATACAGAGTTTCATGCTCTGAGAGAGATTTATTATCTTCCCTAGGACTTTCACTGGAACCAACCTGTGGTTCCTGTGACAACTTTTCACTCTCTGACACACTTCGCTTCATTTTCATGAGTTTTGTATGGTGTTTACGTTTGGGATGTGGGGAAATTTTATGCAGTGTAGCACCCCTCCATGAACATAGTTCTGTACCAGAGGCAGTCACTTTGTTTAAAGAATCAGGTTGGCTTCCTCCTAAGGCATCAAGCGCACCTTCGGATATGGAAAAAGGAGAAAAGTCTAATCGATTTGTTAGCTCATAGAGTTCTGTCACACTCCATGGGCGGCCGTTTTGTTTGTGGCGGTCGGTTTTTCGCCTCATTTTGACCCCATGTGGAACCTCTCTATTAGGGGAACTTGTAGCAGACAAACTGCTACCTTGGGCTGTTACACTGTCAACATGTCCTTCATTCTGTGTCTCTACTGTGACAGTGGTCTCTTTGAAAATCACACTGCTGTAGAGATTTTCCTCATTGGACGATGAACTCTCAGAGTCACTGGTATATTCACTGCTTGCATCACAAGAACTTTCCACATAATTCCCCGCATTGTCATTGGCAGAGGAATCGGTGCTAGTGTCTTTCTTCTTTCTCCTTCTTCGTCTTTTGCCTGATGTTTCAGTCCACCTGTTCGTCTGAATGTTGAAATCCCCATCTCTGACAAAGGACTCTGCTTGTCGCACCAAGCGTTCTACAGACTCTCTGCTATTTGGTATATGTGCTTGTTCTAAATCATAATTGGGAGCTCCATCCAGCTCATCATCTTGGGTGACTTCTTGATGATGATCAGAATCAGAATTAGCTTGCACTGCCAAGGATTCTGATTTTTCATCACTAGATCTTTTGCTGTGACTTTTGTAAGTATCTAGAGTATGGTTGTAATCCTCAAATGTATCCAAATTTTCTATAAATGAGTTGTTGTTCTGAGTGTCAACATGCTCCTCATCAGAAGTAAGAGAGCTAGAGGAATCTTCATCATCAAATCCAAAAGCACTGGCAGAGCTCGTACGAGAACGGGGTTTAGTATCTTCTTCCAGACGGTGTTCTAAGTCTTGTATCAAGAAGTCTAGCCTCGTACGCACTTTGGCATTGGATTGGGTATCAGATTCAGACCCAGATTTGTAGCCTTGGGTCATTTCCTCAGTATTACTGCCTCGGTTTTCAGCTGCAAATTCTTCTTCAACTGATGTCATTCTATAAAATCTCTTGCTTGGTGATGATAATGCCTCTTCATACTTCTCAGAATCCTCTCCATTTGGTTCTTGATCCTCCTGGGTGTGACTGCTATCATTTCCAAACACAGCCTGGTATGGGGATTCCTCAGCACTGGGCAGGGAGGACACATTGGTAAAAGTGGAATCATTAATCTCACTTACTGATGCCTCCAAGGTGTCATCCTTCTTGACAGAGATGGTTGTATGTTGTGTTTCCTTCACGAGAATCTTGGTTGTTTTTACCTCCTGTGTGGTCTCAGTGATGCTGTACTCAACTTCTTCATTAGACTGTCCACCACTAGAGTATCCAACATCATGGCTCTCTAGCTTACTGTCATCAGAAGAAGCAGTGGTCTCCTCAGTCGAGTCCTTCCCATTTAGGGCACTGACCACCATTGTGTAGAGGTCATCATCCTTAGTGGGGGGACTGCTGCCCATCACCTCCAATTTGCTTTCTTCTTGACTGCTTTGTTGACCCTCCACAGACCCTTTAGTCCCCTTGGTTGTCCGTTGTTTACCTTTCTCCATGCTAGCATGTTCCAAAGGCTCATTCGAGGAACTGCCTTGGATACTACTCAACACAACAGACTTCTTCTCATTGCTGTCTTTTGCTTCTAATAAATCATCAATGGCTGAACCAGGTTCTTTCTCGGTGTTCTTTTCGTCCTTCTCCGTCTGAACATCAACTTCGGATGTTATCTTTTCATACTCGTTTTCAGCAAAGGGAATGATGTCAGAGTTGTTAAAGTCATCAATGTCTGTGTCCGTGTAGTCACTTCTCTCACTATCTCCAATATCTGTAGGTGGTATGCTGAGCTGGGATGCACTGTGGAAGTTAAACCCACCAAAGGAAGATGCCTGAGAGACAGGTGTAATTAGGCCCTGAAAACAAAGAAAAAAAAAACATCAGTATTTCATCAATAAAAAAACAATGATTAACTAATCAAAGTTTGCAATTTTCATAAATCATAAAATCAGTACTGAGACTGAATGACAAGTAGTAGAACAAAACACGAACCTTGGAAAATGAAAATCCCTCTATTTACTTATGTACCACTGATCAAGCTAGAAATATGGTGGTCTAAGTGAAAGAGACTATGTAAGAAAGAGATCACTTATCCTCTGAGGATAAGTTTAAACCCAAGTACAGACAAGATACCTGTATAGACAGCTGACAGTTCAATTAGATACTTATTAAAATTCCAATTTACTAAGGTATGTGTTCATGCCCTACAGATCATCTAAGTATATGATATCTTAATCAGGGAGTCTTAATTATCATCCTCACATGAGCAAAAGATAAATAACCCATGCAATATTTTTAAGTACTAAGCTTGATCAGATCATAAGACAATGAGTGAACAATATTTCTACAGAACTAAAACTAATCAATAAAATAAATTATCCATTTAAATGTGAAGTTCAAATTACGTTTTAATGTTGGGTATATTAAAATAAAAACCTTCTCATATTACGTTGTCTTCTTCCTAAGATCACACAAAAATACCCTTGTATGAAGAAAAATACATAAAGTCTTCTGTAGATTCGCAGTATTTTGCAAGCAATAATCACTTTCAAGTCCCTTCATCATTATGTCTATAGAAAAGATAAATATCTATTTTGTACTGTATTGATTGGCACAAACATAATTCACTTTCCAGCATTTCATCTCCAAACTATAGGTTACAAACCTTATCCAATCCAATACAGCACTACAAAAAAGCAAAAAGGTGTGTTAACCTATTTCAAACAAAGCATCTGGAAATGACAGGAGCATTAAGAAAACAGCACTCTAAACTACGATTAGCTGAAATCGTTTCCATGTAGATAGTCAATTAAAAATAGTTTTGTAAAAAAAAAAAAAAGGAGGAGAGGTGGATAAATGCAGCAATCAGCAAATGTTTGCTTATCCTGATAATTCCAATTAACTCTCCCATTGTGTAACCACTTGGGCAGGAATTATTAATGGCTTGGTTCAGATGAAGCACTCCAAACTCAAGTTTTCTTTGAACAATGAAACCATGTGGAGAAGCAGATTCAATAATCTGTTCACATGACTTCAGACAAGACTCTAAAACCAAACCTTGATTATTTCAAAATGTCTGCTTCCCTATTTCTTTAGTACATGTATGAATAGCAAATATGTAAAAAGTACATTCTGACCCAAAGTTTTACTACAGACCATCAATCCCGACTTTGATTTGTTGCCAATCTTTCACCAGATGAATAATAAGATAATGCAATCCAGATTTAATAATATATTATCCCGAATTCCATAATGCATGCAAATGTTAT